TGGGGAGGAAGGATAACCATGACACTGAAAGCAAGTATTCTTGACTTCCAAAATGTATGTTTAGATAAAACTGACTTTTCGCAGTGCCGATATGAACAAGCTACCTTTTATTGAGTTTCTACATGATTCAGGTGTTTCAATAGTTTATATAATGCAGGCAGCAAAATGTGTTTAATCAATAGGAAAAGACCTGTACTACAGGCTGGTCTATGTTCTGCAGAATGCGTGGTTGGAATAATTCAATAATAGGATATTATTTGAATTTGAAAATTTTCAAAAGTATCTTTTGCATTAAGATAGTACCTGCCATATGATTATAGAGTAAATTAAATAATATATGTGCAAATAAATTGAAAAGAAGCTTCAAACATTTGATAAAGTCCACAGAATAATTGAGTTAAAAACAGCTCATTTTTTATTTGTATGAGTTATGTTTGAAATTTGTAATTATCCTTCCATAAAAAAAGTGTTGAGATTTGATTCATGGATCTCACATAATCATGGATATTTTGTTTTAAAACAGAAAATCAAAATAGGCATTTAATGTCAGCCCTCCTGTTCCCCATATCTTCTCCTTCTGGTCCTGTTTCCAAGCTTCTTGTGGCAATAACAGATGATCCTCCTACCACCCCAACCTCCTGCCCTATAACCTACAGTTTCAATTCTGTAGCTGTTTACTCAGTCCTGACCATGGGAAGAAAGCTTATCAACGTATCAATACCTCTGTGCTCTGGAATGCAGCATCGTTTATCAAAGATCCTTAACTGGGATCTGGGACCCAGCTGTGGCAGCTTTGCTCCATAAGCCTCCTTAGTGATTTTCTGAGCCATGTGTACCCTCAAATTATAATATTCCCTTCCCATTCTCATCCCCATCTTAGATAGGATTGAGAATCTGCCATAGTCTCTACCTCTAAGTTCAGCCTGATTATTCAATTTAGTACCTGGGAGTCTTACCCTGAATACCCATGAGTATTCTATATTCTCATGGACACACTTGTTTAATTACCACTTCCCTGCCCAATGCCTGAGTACTACCTTTATTGTAAGTTTGCCAACTGGGGGTTCTTCTCTTACAAGCAGAAAATCAAGCCTAAATGAGTGCATGTAATATGTCAAGATTATGTGGCCAGAAAACCCAACTTCAGTGAAAAGATTTACCAAGAATTCTCTCTGAAAGAATTAAACTCAATGGTCAAGGTATGTTCCCAGATATCCATCATGCATATGTTTTATTCCAGCAACTCTCCCTAAACTTTTAAATAACTTTAAAAAGATGTTACACACAATAATTCTTACTTTAAAACCATCCATTGTAGGTTTACAATTCTAGAAGAATTAAAGGTTTACTTCAAGCTCTTGAACTGAAGGGAAATACAAGTGTCATGTATGTCCGTCTCTGTATCCACCTCTGTATCCAAAGGCTCAATGAAAGCAGCAAGTGAAGAAACATAATTTGTGGGTTGGCTCAAGGTTTGCGTTTTCTTTATCTTGTTTAAGAGAAGAAGGAAGACATGATGTAGTCACTGCTTTCTTCTAGGGATCTTTGTGTCAAGAATCAGTTGGTGTTCCAAGGAATCACTTGGGATCTTTCCAATGAAGTTGTCAGAAAAATTACCAATTGTTAACTGTGGTAACTTAGAGTGAAATGTGTCTTAAACAAATGAGCAACGCAAAAGCAGAAAGACACCCTAAGAGTGTATATGCAACTCACATCTGGTATGCTGATTGTTGCTTACGTCACCACTGTCCTGGGAACGCCATTGGGGCACTGGGTGGTAAAATCAGGGTATATGGCAAGACCATTTTCTCAGCATCTGTTAACAGATCTTAGGCCAGGTCACACGTCCTTTGCTTCCCCATCTGCTCTAGAACACCCTACACTTATGACTAACTCTTACAATGTGACACATGATTAAAGCACAGAAGCAGAATTTGTGCTTCGAGAATTTCAGTTTTAGTTGTATATTCACATCACTTGAATGGTACTATTTACTTCCTTCTGAAGTAAGGATTCACAGAAGTGTAATAGAGTAAAAAATTTAAACATATCCCAGAATTCAGGAGTTGAAATCTAGTATATTCTCCTGAAACATTTTTTCCCCTACAGAATAGACCTTTCAAAGTAAGAATATAAAGAATTCAGATATTTTCTTATTCCTTTTTTGTAAGTTACTAAGATGAAATAATAGAGTCCCATATGGGTTTTTAACCTTTCAGATATTTTCAGTAGTTAAAATTCTCAGAAAAAAGTAATTTTTGGTTTTACTCAGAGTTCGCTAACCTTCTCTGTTATAGATTGATTTTAAGTTCTTCTCAGCATACATATATAAATGAGGAGCACCAAAGTAGTAATAAATCCACACAAAAAATATACTTGACTGAGATAACGGATTTTGCCTGATTTCTTCCCCTAGAGGGAGGTCAGATGAGCAGATAAAGACACTGAATGGCTCAATGATTAAGAACAAGTAGTGAAAACATCTTCTCATCCTGTGCAGTGGACGTGTATAAAAGCAGAAAACTGGTAAGATCAAGCGTAAGTAGAAACTCAAGGTCAAGATGTGTCCGTGTGAGTTAAGAGCACATATAGGGCCTGCCACAGGCACCGGGAAACCGAGAGGAGAAGAGAATCTGAAAACCAGGTACAATAAATGCAAAGCATGATAGGTCAAAATGTATAAGCAGTACACCATCTTGAACAAAACACAGAGCACAATCATAAGACCTAGGATAAAAAAAAGTTACTACTCATACTATTCCCCTTAACAGAATAGAATAGGCTAAGTTTTCTTAGATTTTGGTAGAAATCCTTAAGGCCATTTTTATATTAAAATTTATGAAACGGGAGATAGTCCTTGTGTTGGGGTTCCCCAAGAACCCTTCAGGTTGGTGATTTGCTGTGTAAAGACTCACAGGACTTAGAATACAGTCACACCCACAGCCAAGGTTTATTGCAGTAAAAGGATTACAAAGTGAAATCAGTAAAGGGAAAATGTGCACAGGAAGAAGTCTGGAGGAAACCAGGCAGAAGCTTCAAAGACTTCTCTCCCGCTGGAGTCGCAGTGGATGTGCTTAATTCCTAGGAAGCATTAGATTCAGTGCCAAGGGTTTGCACTTGGGAAGGGTGGTGTAGACCCCATCTGCCATTCCAAACTTCCAGAAGGAAAGCAGGTGTTTGGCATAAAGCACATTGTTTCAATTAACAGTTTCGGTGCAGGGAGTCACTTTAATCATTTAGGAAAAGTTTTATATCCGTGCAGGGAACTGTTTACCAGCCAATTTCCTAGGGCCTGGGGGGAGACAGTGAACACCGTGCTGTCGTGGGCAAACTCGCTCTTTGCCTTCTCGCTGAGCGCTGGGCGTGAAGGTGGAGCTCGCCTTCGGCGGCTTCATCGCCCCTGCCTTCAGAGGCAGGATGCTGAAGGGCAAATCTTGCAAGCAGGTACTTCTAAGGATAGAAGTCTCAGACCTGTTATGTTAACCCTTCTACACAGTTCCCTTAACTATTTCCCCCTTTCATTTCCATTCCAGATACAGCTGGCTCTGTTTGCCAATGGGTATCTAGAAACTTTTCTAGAATAAGGGTTATTCAAATGAGTTAAGGAAGGTAATAAACCTCATCAGGCATGGTCTGAATTTTCAGATCTTACTTATCCTAGAGCTTCAGTGGTCTGAATGTATTATAATGGGGTAATTCCCCAAAGCCAACGTTGAGGCTGATTACTCAGGTGGGACTAGCATGCCCAGGATGTATGTGGGTTCTCCAGTGACCAGATATTTACCATGGCCATGTACGAGATATAGTTTCAACCATGAATCTCTGAGTGAATTGGAGGAGGCCAGAAAGAGCAACGATGATTAGGTTCTTCAACTAAGAAAATGCCAAAAGCTTCACTAACATTCTCTCACTTTCCTAGAAGCATAGGGTCTAGGTGATGTGAGCAGAGAAGTTGGACATTAATTGCCTAAACCATTAGAAGAATCCCAGCAAATTTGGATGTCTTTGTCTAGGGAACATGGAAGGGCCCCCTTGATCTTCATTTTCCTTGGGAGGGTGTGGTATAGATCCTCAGGAACCAACGGTCCCTGGTATAATTTCTGATACCCCCTCAAGGATGGTCAGTGGACTAGTCTGGCATGTCATGAGGAGCAGGCAGCAGTCATCAAATGAGCTACCTTTTCATGCAGGCAAATAGTCAAGTACACAGGAGGACCAAAGGCATTGGACTGAATGGCCAGATTCAAAAAGCAAGTCTGAGACAGGAGGGCCCGGGGAATAAAGAACCAGAGTGCAAAGCCAAGACGCAAGGCCATCATGTGTTGACGGCTTGCTAATTTAAAAATTTTCTACATTGTGCTGTATAGCAATTCCATAGCAATTATCTCCTTTGATCCTAAAAACCCAATGAAACCATTCTTTTAGTTATTGAAAATGCCCCATTAAATGCAAATATTCAAAATTGGTAGCATCAATTTTAAAATAGGTTTAGTCTGCAGTTGGAAGGCAAAGCATTAGTAGGAACTGGACTAAGGCTGGACGTGGAAAGTAAAGGAAAGGCAAACTGCTATTGGGGACATGGGAGGCCTCTCTTTCTCCCTGCCCCATACCCTCCAAAAAACTGTTCCAACTTTGACCAGATTTGACAAAGGAGAAGAGTTTTGTGAAGTGCTGCTTACATATGCGACGCCTCAGAATACATTCCAAACTACCTGGCCTTGCTGCCGGATTTAAGTGCAAATTAATGAGACAGCAGCGCTCAAGAAGCCTCCGGGCTGACCACCATGCTGAAGGACCAAGAAACAGGGGTAGGGGTGCCAGGGGGCCGGGAGGAGAGGAAGCGAGGGCAGGGGGCGGGTCTTCCGTGGAGAAACCCCACCCCTCCTTGCTCGTCGCTGATTGGTGGCGGCAATAGGCCGGGAGGGTGGGTGTGTCCGGGGAGGTGGGTGCGCGCGCGCTCGCCGGCGTTGAAGGACCGGAAAGGAGGCGGGGCCGCGGCAGCGCGCGCTCCCGGGACGCGCGCGGCGCAGGCGGCGCGGATCTCAGGGAGCCGGTCCGGGGCCGGAGCGGGGTCCCTGGTGTGCGTGCGGAACGGGGCTCCGGGGAGACGGTCGCGATGAACACGGTGCTGTCGCGGGCGAACTCGCTGTTCGCCTTCTCGCTGAGCGTGATGGCGGCGCTCACCTTCGGCTGCTTCATCACCACTGCCTTCAAAGACAGGAGCGTCCCGGTGCGGCTGCACGTCTCGCGGATCATGCTGTGAGTGTGGCGGAGGCCCGGCCGGCGGGGCGGGGCGGGGCGCCTGGACCGGGCCGGGGTGCCTGGACCGGGCCGGGGTGCCTGGACCGGGCCGGGGTGGGCGCCGAGGCCGGGCCGCCGCGGGCAGGGCGTCCGCGCCGCCCCGGGGGAACCGCCCCCCCCGCCCGCCGCTCCTCCGAGGCCGGCGCCCCCGAGGACGGACGCCCCGGTGGACGTCGCGGGCTTCTCGACTTCCCCTCGAACTCCCACCCCTCCACCGCGAATTCCCGGGCTTGCTCTTAAATTTTAATTTTGAGTGTTCCTCAGGCCGGTGCCTCCGCTTCCTTCCTGTTCCTCACTTCCCCCGCCCACGCCCGGCCAATGAGGGAGCAACACAACAGCAGAGCGGCGCCGCCGCCCGCCCGCCGGCTCCCGGGCCGGCTCCCCGCTGCCTCGGCTCCCCGGCTCCCCGCTCCCCGCTCCTCGGCTCCCCGACTCCCCGGCTTCCCCGCCGGCCGCCGCGCCTCGGCGCTGCCCTCTCAGACCGGACTCGGCCCCGCGTGCGGGCCTTCCGCGGTTCTCGCCCGGCCGCCTTCGCGGGGGTGTGGGGGGGCTGCCTCCTTCGGGGGCGGCGCGGACTCGCAGCCGCTTTGAAGTTGGCGGGAGAGGGTGGGACGCGCTGAGAGCCTCCGACAGCCCCGCTCGCGGATCCGGCGCCGCGGCGGGTTTACGACTCAGCTGGCTGAAGAAATGTGCGAAAATGCCCCAAATGGGATTTCAGAATGACGTTGTCATTTCCATAATGCCGGTTTTATTTTGCCTTGATAATTTGTGTTCGCCGGCACATTTTTTGATACGTAGGTGTTTTTCTTTTCCTTTTTCTTTTCTTTCTCTCCCCC